ATATCCCTAACTTTACTCGCGCTCTCAGGTCAGCCACTGTGTGTTCGGTGTTGTGTATGTGTCCAAGGTCAAGGCCGCCAGTCGCGCCCGCAGGAACAGCACGGAGCTCCCCCCAATTGAAGACCTCCACGGCACGCCCCCTTCGCCTTCCCACAATCGCCTCAACTCGTATCAGTTGTATCCGGTTCCTGGCCTGCATCCGGTTGTTTACGAGTTCCAGTCCCCGGTTCTCAGTTCAGCGGGGACTCGACTACATCCAGACTCGTCAACTAACTTGCCGCTCCGAGCCACCTACATGCTGGACTTGGAGGAGGAGAAGGAGGGGGAGGAAAAAGAGGAGGAGGAGAATACAGTCAAAAAATAAAACTTCTAGTCCCTTTGGGCGTTATTTTAGGCTTCATAATTCCGCAAAATAAACTGTGATGGACATGAATGCATGGGTTTGTGACACAATGTGTTACACTATATATAGTTTTAAAAAAGGGTAATGTATGCACACTTATTTGTATAATATGATCTATAATTCAATTTATTGTTTAAAGATATTGATAATCTACATTGCTAGACCATTATTTGATTCGCGAGCCGTAGGCTGTTGGACACAAAAAAACCACTTGAAAAATAAAATCAATATAACCCTATTGTTACAGTACGGTACGTCCTTAGACAAATTATTTCAAAGCAGTGACCATCCCGCCAGTGTTCGAACATCAAGTAAATATTTCGGTAGTGTTGAACAATTAAAGATAAAATGTAAGTATTTGAATATTGGAGGTGACCAGTTACTGTTTCCTGGGAGGTGGAGGGCGCCACTGGGCAAGGTCCTATTTGTATAATTTCCCTCTGTTGTTTTTGTCTGTCTATCTGTCTGTCTTACTTTTTCACGCCTCTAAATAGCCAGTATTGTGTCGATGTGCTTCTCTTTACTCAAACAAACAAACAGACTAACTGTTACCGTTTGGATGTTGGGGATAACCGGTCAGTGATCAAATATGGGTGAAAAGGCCGTTTTGTCACCAGGGTTGGTTCTACGTGGTCTGATCAGTTACATTAATCAGAAAGGTTTGTGCACTAAAATAAATGGTCGCTTTTACTTTTAAGCACAAGAAAAGTGTTGTTTTGAGAAAATCGAAGGTAAAGTTATTGGACACTTGTTCAGTTTCTTTAAAAGACAAGGAGAGTTTTCTCTATAACCAAACAAATACACACACCAATGAAACTAAACTTCTCCTATAGTCTATAGGTAGGGCAATGCCCACTTTTGGTGTAGGTCAAAATTTCTGGAAACTCCCGACATCTGGGTTAGCCCGCTTGTCCTTAAAAGCGACCAAATA